GGACAAAGAACAGGACAAGAAATACATATAAAAACAAGTGGCAAGGACAACATAAACAAGACAAGTACCGTTTCTTTTGTTCACATCAGTGATTCTGATGCGATTACATGTGGAGATCATTGGTTTTGAGGGGTTTTGTCTTCGTATATTGTAGGGTTTTTCAAGGCGCATCGAATGATTTATGAATGATTGATGATCTCTATCTGTGGCGAAACTATTATAATTTTATCTGCCGCTTCGATTAAAATTCGAGATGTCTGTCAAGTATTTCTCCAATATATCTCTGCAACTTTTGAAACAGTATGTTATAGCTCATTGGATAGCCCTTTCAATTGTGCACTTTTCTCTATATAAACCATTCCTTGTCTGAAACTTTCAGACCCAACATTTTCAAATTACATTTTCAAATCCAAGAAAGAATTGCTGGAATACGGAAAAAAATTGAAAATGATAATTCTGAGACCATGATTCATTTTTCAGAAGTAAGATGAGAAGAACTCGGCGATGCTCTAGCGAAATATTTCCTCTCCCTCCCCCTTCTCTGAAAGGACTTTTGGAGTCTCGTAGGCATTAAAAGGTTTTTTCTTTGCTTTTAGGGCTGAAAATTCTTCTTTTGACACATTTCAAGACTTTACACGACTTAATGTTTTTAACGCGTTCTCTGGAGTTATCCATGAGAACTGAACACATTGAAATGCATACAGAAACGAATGTAACTTCACTCAAACGCGATAATCAGTATACTGTACTGTCTTTGAAAACGAAAATCGCAATTCTCTTCAAAGAAAAGTATACAACATTATTGTACTTCACACATGAAACATTATGGAAAGGAGGCAGAAAAGCTGTTTTAGATGTAGCTTAGATCTGTTACTCTTCAATTCCACAATTCATTTCTATCAAGCACATGGCTCAGAAGGACGTAGCTCTCTTGTTGAATGAAAGTTCTATTTTGATTCAGTTATTGTTGATTACAGAACTTTGGTTGGTAAAACTGAAATCAAATTGAAAAAGATGCTAAAAGAAGATTATGTCGAATCATCACTAGACTGTGAATCGCGCCAAACTCTTTGTGGCCTGGCGATGTCGTTAAATTAAATTCAGCGCTCAATTTGACTCCTCGTTTTTCACAGTCTCATAATTTGTCAATTTCTGCTTCAGGACCGAATAATACACAAAAAGACTTTAATAAATAATACAAAGAAACTTTTCAGTAAAAAATTCTAAATATTCATCTTTCTGAAAATTATCACATATAAACAAAATTATCAACATGAACAAATTGATCTATGATATTCTACATTTGATCTTTTGTTCTTATTGGAATTTCAAGATGTTTAACATTTTCTATTGTATGACAAAGATTATCAATCGATATTAATTCCGAATCATCTTCTAATCTAAGAGTTTGAATTTGTTGATGGTATAACAAATAACGGATTATATTCCATATTAAGAGAATTTAATCGAGGAAGATATTTTATTAATTTATCAAGTTCATGTCTTGATATATATTTAATACACCACACATCGGGT